CAGGCAGGCAGGCAGGCGGTACTGGCGTACCGGAGCCTGTCCGAAGCACCGGGTACCGTTTCGGTACAGTGCTCCAGAGGGCCTGCCTGCCCACCCAAGCTTCTTACCTGTCCTTTAAGCCTTTGGCACTTCCATGCATGTAAATGATGCATAGAGCGCCTGTGCTACGCTCCACTGAGCAACTGGAGCATCGTGTAGCGGAGGCCACGCACATCCATGTGGGCGACCCATGGAGTGGTAGGTAGGTAGGTAGGTAGGTAGGTAGGTAGATAATAGACACACACAGAGAGGGAGATGATAGATGATGAATGGATAAAGAGATGATTGATAGATAAATGATTGATATATATATCCATCATCTATTTATCCATCCACAGATATTCATCGATATCTGTCTATCTAGTTAAGAGACAGGAAGAGAGAGAGACAGAAAGAGTGAGAGATATCTATCTATCTATCTATCTATCTATCTATCTATCTATCTATCTATCTTGTTTTCATCTTATCCTACTACTTCTTTGGTCTCTCTGTGTCTAGTTTTTCAGACTCTCTAACCATAACAAAAACTCTAATGAAATAACTATTCTATTGAAGCATTGGACACCACCTCCTCTTTAAGCTACTAAATACATGCCATATGATAAGAAACATAAATAAAAGTTGAGTACTTTAAAAGCTCTATGCCTGTATTATAATGTTACGCAGAAAGTGGGGAGTCAGGATTCCTGTTTGCACCCTCTCCATCCAGCCTCCATCCAGCCTCCGCTCCACATATGAAGAGATCAGCTTCGCAGCTGAGATGGATGAAATTATACAGGCTCCCTCGGTGCAATTTTCAACTCTTATCATACACAGAAAGCTTCTGTGAGCAGGAATTGGCCTTCCAGAAAATGAAATGGGACTGAACGATGACTAGAACGCAGGTGAGGAGGCTGACCTAGCCAGCATCTCCTAATGGTCTTGAAGCTGTCAAGCACCACATAGCCACCAATGCTAAGAAGCAAGAACCATGGGTTTTCAGTGCAGTCACAGTTGGAAGCATACGAGAAGAACTGGATGAGTGCTAACAAACTGGTACTCAACCCAGACAAGACCGAGTGGCTGTTGTGTTTCCCTCCCAACAATTTGGCCAGTGTTCCACCACTCAGGCTGGGGGGGTCAAAATCTACACCCCTCAGATAGGGTCCACAACTTGGGAGTCCTCCTGGACCCACAGCTGACTTTTGACCATCATTTGTCGGCTGTGACCAGGGGGACTTTTGCCCAGGTTCGCCTGATCCACCAATT